GGGATAATCGAGGCTTGTGCTGCCCACCACTGCAACAGGGTGGATTTCACTTGCTAATGAGCCGACCACCTATCTTCCAGCCATTCATCAAAGTCTGCCCTGCGAGCTGCCTGTGTGAAGTACATGCCATCATCACAGTAGATTAGGTTTACTCCCACCACTTTAGTCAGCGGGCTTCTGGGTAACCTCTACTGGACAATGATTAACATTCAGGCCAGCTGGATGCATGATTTGCGAGTAAGAGTCTGGCAGATATTGGGGGTTCTTTAAAAAGTACAAGGATTTTCCTTCAGTGAGGTGGTTAAATTAAGTCTCTTCATTAGAATAAGTAGCAATAATGATGGCATTCATGACTATTTAAATGCTGTTTCTGATTTTACTCATGCCCACTCTATAAACTGCAGCAACAGATTACAGTCAACACTAAATTGTTGTAGTGCCCCATTAGTAATCCAAATACATTACAAAGAATACATTCCATGCTTTACCTTGCATGCCCCCTGCTGACAGTGCAATACTATAACCACCTCCATCTTAAAATAACACACAAAAAAATCCAATAGACATCAGCCAGACATTAAGTTTAATGAACCTCAATGACACATGGCCTAGAAGGGACATTTTACTCAGACATAAAACCCAGTTGAATCACCTCACTGAAGCCATCTTTCAACTGTGTTGGAATGAAACACCCATTCAAGAAATACTGAACTTAAAAAGCACACATAAGAGAAAACCCCAAAACAAAAAACAGAAAAATAGACAAGAGTAGAAAATCAGAGTAGTGAGTGTGAGTAGTATTTCATCTGCAGAGACATTAGCTGTGGTAGACTAATGTGTTTAGTATTTACAAAGAGTGGACAGTACACATAACATAGATACAATCCAGCAGCCCTTCAATACTGCTGTGAAGCCCGATGTTGTTTTTGTTGAAATTGTGCAGATGTTTATTCCCATGTTTTTTTTTTTATCAGTTTGGTATTTTCTACTGAATTGAAATGCCCCTTGTCTTTTTTTTTTACCTTTTTAAGATAACTGGATCTCTATGAACAAAATATTTACAGTAATGACATGATACTTGTGGATACAATCTCATCTAAATGAAGATAAAAAAAGATACAATTCTCAGTCTTCTAAGATGCATCAGTTTGAAGCACTGGCACTAGGTTGATCCTTTTGACCTCCGACCTCATGTGATTTCGGTACCATCTTTTTAAAGTAGCGTTCAGCGCGCAGTTCCTCAAAGCAGAACTCTGTGGCGCCACTGAGCAGCAGCTCTTTACAGTACATGCTCTGCTCCTGTAGTTTTCCTGATTCTGCTTCCTTCTGTTGCTGACGGTGCTCCTGCAGTCTCTTTAGAGGGGTTTCCTCTCTGCCCGGCTTACGCGATGATAAAACTGTGTTCACTGCCGGGTTGATCTTACATGGAGTCCTGAGGATGAGAAGGAAGATACCAAAGAAAATCTAAGAAATCTTACAAACATAGCCCAAGAAGTATTAACTTAAACTCATGAATAGGACTTGAATAATCCATTCATTATTCAATTGTATGTATTAATTGTGTCTATTACAAAGGCCAAAACTAGTAATAACGGTTAAATGACCGCAAACCAACACATGGTTTGGTTTGTTTTGCTATTATCCTTTAAGAATGATCGATTTTTAGTTAACTTATAATTATATGAAACAAGAAAAGTAGCAATTTATTTAATTTAAAGGTTGCGCTTTACTTAAAGGTCCAGTGTGTAACATTTAGGAGAATCTATTGGCAGAAATGGAATATAATAATCATAGGTCGATTTTCATTTGTGACTGATCACCTGAAAATAAGAAGTGTTGGTTTTTGCCTTAGAATGAGCCATTTCTATTATCTACAGAGGGAGTCGGTCCTCCTGTAGAGTCCAGCATGTTGAACTGCCATGTTTCTACAGTGGCCCAGACCGGATAAACCAAACACCGGCTCTACATAGGAACTTTCGCAGCCATGGTAGTTTCTCCTACCCTCTTGGAATGGCAACGTGAGGCGGGGGTGTTGCAATCACCAACTACACTGCTAAATGCCACTAAAGGCAACACTGTGGTGTTTTAATTTTCAAAATTGTTGATTGATTCACTTCAGTGCTCACTTCATCAATTTCAGGTATATTTTGTTTCTTCACAAACCTGAATGTGATGTAAATGAAATATTCAGCAAATAAAAGTAAGTAATAAAAGTTACGATTCTTGTAGTCACTCACATTGTAGGAGGCTGGTCTGACTCCTCAACAAATGGTTGGAAGCTGGGTTTGGGAGGTGGTGGGGCCATAACAGTATGCCCGAATTTGTTCTTCTGGGGCATCTAAGGTACACACATATTACATTTATATCACTTGGTTAAATTCCATTTCAATCAACAAACACAATTTGCTACTTGTCGCGTACCTTTACGTCACACCATCTTTCAGGCCTCTGCTCATTCTCCTTTGCCCTGGAAGTTGGAGGGGCCAGCCATGACTCTAATTTATGCTCTGAAGGGCCAGCACTTTCAATGTTGTTCTCATCAAAGATCACCATCCGACTGTTTGAAGCATTGCCAAGAACGGGGGTGCTGCGTGACTGCAGGCCTCCAGAAATACCTGTTCACAAAACCCATCAAACATCACATAATGCTGATATTTAAAGGTGCTGGTAATATCAGCTTAAAATAGTAGTAATTATTTGTATATTTATGTACTTACTTCTGATTGCAGGCCCAGCTCTGTTGATCGGGGCAATGGCCTTCTTCTTCCCTCTATGTTTGAGGTCAGCTAGAGAAACTCTCTCAGCTTGTCTAGCCTCTTCATCACTATCGTCTTCCTCGACCTCCATCATCACCTGTCGGGACACACGTGCCTGCAAAGCCCTACCAATAACAATACAAAAAAAAAAATGTGATTATACCAATATTTAACATTTTCAAACTAAATCTCAAACTTTACTGGAAGACCACGTACTTGTGAAACTGCAGGAGCTTATCATGTGGCTCAGCAAACTTCTTGAATCCCTCTTGGTACACCAGGTCTGCTTTGCGACAGTTGCCCTGATTCTCATATTCCTCAGACCAAGCGATGTAAAGAGATGCCTGTGTCACTCCAATTCCCTGCACTTGCATGTACCTGTATATGTCCAAGGGCTCGGGACAGTTCTCTGCCTGAGGACACACAATACACACATATGGCAAAAGTTATTACTGCTGCATTAGTCTGTCAAAGCAGCAAAAAAGGTCAGGTTAAAATATTACACGTACAAATTTGATCCAGATATCAACATAACGAGGGTCGTTGTGATATTTCTTTTCCTCCGTGAATTTAGTTGCGACTTGTTCCAACAGCGTGGCGAGGTTGCTCTCCTTTCCTCCCTGAGGGAAGGTTTGCTCTGTCCACTTGATATACCTGTGAAAGACAGAACCATGTGAGGATTAAACGTAAAACCTCTCAGATTTAGGAGCAGCACATATAAATACGCTGTTTACAAATTTGACTCACCGATCCCAAACATTAAGTGGATCATCTCCGTCATACATTCGCAGTTCAGACTCAAAGGCCCTGGAGACACAAAAAGAAACAAAACCTCTGTCATTGTGTGAAAACTGCAAAGAAAAGTGTTCAGCAGAAATTTCTGTCACCCAATCCGGGTGCAATGTTTGAAAGATCATACTGTCTCTGCTGGTGGATGGCAGAGCTGAGTCCATCCTGTTGTTGACTGAGTGCCTGATGTAAGGCTGATATGGCTCTGCCTCGCCGCAGTGGCTGGATGTTTTCTTTGCTCAGCTCCCATTCTACATCTCCTCCTTCTGCCATTGTGACAACTAGGTGCCTACAGAACAACAGACACACATAAACACATAAGATATCAGTTAAGTTTTAGATTTTTTTGCTTATAATGATGATCTTTTCACTGAACATTATTTTTGGTAGAGCACACACTCCCTCTGACTTCTACCTTTGATAATGGATTAGTCATAAAAGCCATTTATCAGGGAAACATATGGCATTCTGTGGTTCCAGATTTCCGTGGTTTGTCTGTTTTATATAACAATATTAATTAATAATATGAAAACTGAGTATCTTTGGATTTTGGACAGTTTGGAAAAAAGATGAATTGATAATAACATTAGTCATAATCTAGACTAAATTGTCACCGTACACCTTAGTCTAACCCCCTATATATTCAAATGCTTATGAAGTATCATAATTATTCAACCAGAGAGTTTTTGGGAAAGCCTTATGAGTTAACATACTATTAAATGTATTTTGCGTTATAGTTCATCCTGTGCTTGGACTTCTAGCTTCTTATGAGGGCACTCCACCACGTAGCTAATACACTTTAAATTGTACATATAGATATAATTCATTATACTCATTACTGTAATAATTACTATCTTTATTTAGGGCGTAAATTATTGTTTGAGTATTTAAGCTGAAATAGAAACCAAGGGCAATACAAGTGACAGATTATTGGAGTAAGGGGATGTAATAATATAACTACACATATTGTACATGAACATGGTTTAACAACTAATGAATAGCGTTAGCTATATCACTATTTACTGTAATTATCATCATCCATCCATCTATCTATGACTGAAGGACAGCTGTGGTGTCTCCAGTGTCCTAGCTTTGCTAACTGTCTTACGTTAATGAGTGCACGACGTGGGGGAGCTAACGCACTAGCTAGCTCACATTCGCTTTAGCTCAGTCGCTCCTTGTTCGCTATATTAGCGAAATGTAGCTGTCACGTATTACAATAAAACTGTCGATCTACAAAATGGTGAGTTTTCATACCGCTTTCAAGCCTCCTTTTGTCCTTTTTCCAGATTTCTACGGCGACAACGTTTTCAGCCAGAACGAGGTTCAGCGGTCGCCTCTGTGTTTGAACAAGGACCGCGAGAGGATTTGGAGAAAGCTGATTGGACGAACCAGACACAGGATAACGCAAATCGACGTCACACTGCCTCTTCCGGGATGGTTCCTGTTTTGATTGTAGCAACGTTGAAAGGTTGAAATAGGTAGCTAGCTGCCAAATCATTGTTCTTACAGTCGGTTTTATTTTTAATATTTACCAGCTAGAGCAATATTAGCCAATTATAATTCCCTGGCTCATGACTCTCTACACGTGTCGACATGGACAACCGATGTTATTGTTGTGCATCAAAGTTCAGCCTCTTCAAGAAGGAGGTAAGACCATGCTGGCTAATATCTGTCACATAGCTATACACACTGGACGTTTTAAGGAAAGTAAACGATGTAATTTACGTTTCTATATCCTCACAGCTGGGCTGTAAGAGCTGCGGCCGCTCCTTCTGCTCCAGCTGTTTGACTTCCAGTGCTGTGGTGCCTCGCTGTGGCAACACCCAGCAGAAGGTCTGCAAACAGTGCCATGCTAATCTGACCAGGTAAAGGTCAAACAATGCAAATTAATATAATTGTGGTTATTAATTAGTATTAATAAGAATTCTTGCTCATTTGCATGTCTCCATTTTTAGTGGGGAACCTCCGAACAGTGCTGGAAAATGGTCTCCTCCTGAAAATTACAAAAAGTCAGTATAGGATCAAATTAGAAAAAAACGACACTTTGCCAACACAGCAGTTTCAGGATATCTAAAGTTCATGTTTCTTCCATAGACGGGTCGCTGCACTTGAGGCCAAACAGCAGGCACAGTCGACGCAGCCTTTTGCACATGGAGGCAATAGAAACAGCAAAGCAGGCCATCTACCAACCAAAGGCCTGAGTAAAGAAGATCAGGCTATTGCAGAAAGACTTCAAAAGCTGAAGGAGGACACTGCGCCAAGTAATGAAATTAGATTAGTAACAGCTACCATTTTGATTTAATCTGACAAATACAGCAAGGATATCTTTTTCTCTTGGCAAAAGCCATTGTAACCTTTTTACCCCTTCTCCAGAGTCTATCCCATCTGAGAAAGAGCTTGAGTCTCGTCTTGCTGCTCTGAAAGCTCCCAGCCGGCCAGTGCCTTCTACAGGGGAGATGGAGGACCGTCTGGCAGTTCTACGGGGTCAGCTTCCACCATCTCAAGCTCCTCCACCTGTGAGCAAAACTCCTCCCTACTTATTTGTATCGTCTTACAATGTAGGGCCTTATAATGTGGCTCATGGACCACTTAAAGTAGTTAAGGCTATTTATAAGGCACTGTATGCTAAATAGCTGTTCATCTGTACAGGTGCACCAGCCTCCAGATAACAGGACTCAGACTGAACAAGCCAATGATCTGATTACTCAGATGACTGAGGAAGTTGCCATAGACAACCAACAATCAAATCCTGAATGCAGTAAGATGTTACTCGTCTCCTTGATTTCTCCCACATTCAATTAATAATTAATGATGCACTCATATCACAGTCTTATATAATCGTAATAATATATCACAACTGCATTTGACACCAAAATATGACTTTGTTCAGCTTTTTTAAGAATATCCTAAATATACTCAAACCTATTAATCCCTCTGCAGGTGTGGATGGCCGTATGAATGATCTCAACAAGGGGGAGGGGGGAGCATTGGATGAGAATTTGGAGGAGAACCAGGAGTCGGTCAAGCAGCTGGAGACAGAGAAGGCCCATCTGCTGGAGGAGGCCATGGAAGAGCTGAGGAAGGAGCACCATTCCCAGGATCAAGTCCTCCACATGGCCAAGAGGCTGGCGCAGCTGAAGGGGCAGGACCCAGACAAAGGTACATCATACACAAAAAGCTTGGTGGATCACTTCATTAAACTAGTCTGTTATCCTTAATTTCACATCAGGAAGGCAGAAAATATGATGACTGTAAACATTGTGGACATAACAGTGTAAATGTCTTAGAGAAATCTGTCATTGTTGTATTTGTCATGTCACTTCTAGTCACTATGGAGGACTTTCAGCATCCTGACAGTGATGAGGAGACTGAGGAGGAAGCTGTGATGAGAGTGTTAAAACAGGTCTGTGGCTGAATGCAAAATTAAGTTCATACTTTAATGTAGTAGAAAATCCATTACTCCTGACTGCATATCACACCCATAAAGATTGCTTGTGAACTAATCTGGACCAGTGCGAGAGGCCACAAGGGGCTGCTATTTTGCCGTTTTAATAATTTGTATTGTGCATTGGAGGACGTGTTCTGAAAAATCTCGTATTTCTTATTTTTGTTCCAGCTGTCTGAAGAGGCTGCTTTGGACGAAGCCAGTGGCTACAACATACCATTAGAACAGAGTGGACCCAAGAACACAGAAAAGAAAAAAACATCTAAGAAACCGGTACTAATCAACAGCCAAGAATACAAATTCATACATACTTCAAGCTAGTAGAGAGAATAACGTGACATGTAATCCCTTGTTGATATGGTGTGTGACCCAGGCTCCAAAGAGTAGGATTTCACCGGCTGCTGTTGCACATCAGCCATCAGATAGTGATGAAGAAGAGCTTCCGTGGTGCTGCATCTGTAACCAAGACGCCACCCTTCGTTGTCACACCTGTGATGGAGACCTATACTGCAACCGCTGCTTCAGGTAGCCTAACATACACTCTTTATAATAAGTGCAATCAGAATTCTTGTTTTTGTCTCACAGTAGAGCTTTGCATGGGAATCTTTTCTCTGATGCTCAACAAAGATGGTTGTGATTTGGAATGCATACCATGGCCCAGATAAATTGTAGGCAGGCTGCTGCCATACTGTTAAGCAGCATGAATATAAAGTATTTAGTGTGATGAATTATCAATCCACTCTCCATTATCTCCCCAGGGAAGGCCATGATAAATATGACAGGATGGAGCATCGCACCACTAACTACACTGCACCAAAGAAGAAGAGGAAGACATGATAGTGAGACTATGCTGTAGGTGTTTGCCTTATCAGGCTCTGGTCAGTCCTTGCTGTTAGACTTGTGCTTTAGACTTAAGTGACCTATTATTGTTATTAAAACAGTGTCTCAAAGGATTTAAACACTACCTATTATCTAAAGAAAGCCAGAACCCTTAATCTTAACCTCACCTTAGCCAATTTGCCCAAAGTGGCTACAAAAATGCATCTAAGTAGACCACAGGAGGAGCAGCATCTGCTTTCTGTAACTGCTAACAGGGCTTTAGATGAACTGAACAAATCAAAAACAATCTGTAACATTTATGGCAAAGCAAAGACTAAAAATAGACATACACCTTAATGTAAATGTAATACAACTTGTATAATATGAAAAACATAGCTCCTATTTTTTCTGTAATGTATAAACTAGATGTAAGTAAATCTCGCAGAGGCTGCTAAACAGTGTTGGTATTTGGTAAAACACAGCACAGCTTCTGCACACAGAAAAGTTTTAAACTGTCCCATGAATAAGAAACTGTAAGGTTTTTTTTATGTCACTTGTCCTACTTCCCAAAGGCAACAAAGGCTAATCTTAGATGCACTTCACACTTTTTTTTTAATTTTGACATCACGTACAGAAAGCAGACACATCATGAGCTCATCTGGGATGATGTACAATCCCAGACTGCTGTCAGCTCTGGACTGAAGAAGTACAGAGGAGTCAGTATAAAAGGATTACTGAGGGCTTTGTTTTCTTTTGGCAGGCACTGCAGTCACTCTTGTAATCTATGTTTGGCTGCAAGTCCAACACGAGTATTGCCTTTCTCGTCCTTGTGTGTAATTTTATTATAAAGGATGCAAAAGTGTTAGGCACTATGTCATGTCTTTAGGGAACGCTGCATTTCTTTTTAGTTATATTTTTAACACTAAAGCCTTTTTTTGATCACTTAAATGAAATCACTGAAATGTCCCCGGCTGGCAGGTCTTGTCAAAAGCGTAGTCTTACAATATGGATGTCCTCTGCGTAAGAGAAGCAAACGTGCAAGTGGGGGGTAAACCAAGCAAATTACTGTAATGGAACATTCGGCTGAAAGACCCTATATATGTGACAGACGGAAGGCCAGAGTGCAGTTTCATCAGTGTGCATTACTGTCAGCTAACTGAGGAGAAGCCATAATTACACTCCTTTGGGGGCTCGCTCCATTAAGGTTTGCATTGAGGCCGTTACTGTGTTTGCCTTTTCTGGCCATGTCAGACACGCACCACAGACAGGAAATGGATGAGGATAATGGATGCATACTTAATGGACCTTCCTGCTGCTGATTTCACTGTGTTTACTCCTAGACCAGACATGTCAACGTCTCCTTTGTTTCCATCACGCTGTTGAAAAATGTACACCAGAAAACAGAAGCTTGTATTCTGGGAATGATGTGCTGACAGCTGTGCTACAGTAAGGCCTTGTAGTTGTCTCTGGACAGTAGGACATAATCATTCTTTAAGGGTGTTTTAGAGCAGTAATAAAGGACAATTGTGGTAACATGATAGTTTAAATGGATAGGTGTAATGGACATGTCAATATTTATTTGTATGTGTTTAATGAATAATACCCGATGATACGGTACTGTTGGTCACTTTGTTGGAAATCAGGTGTCACCATTTTTTTTATAATTCATGAACAGCCTTGTCTTGAAAATGTTCAATTTTATTTGGACATACAACACTGTTATCAGAACAAAAAAATATTTATGTACATAAATAGGCAACCGAAAATGTACAGTCGTACACAAACAAAACAGTCCATCTGAGTAATAGTCAGTACAGCTTTTATCACATGTGCATTATTGGTATGTTTATGGGAGACAAAATGTTATAGCAGTCCATAAATTAAAATGAAATAATAAAAATAAAAAAAATCCATTCAAAACCCGACTGCTGTGTTGTTAGAATGTTGCTGCCCCCAGGAGGGGGCAGAGGGCAGACAGAAAGTCCCACAGACGTGTGAACCGCACATACAGGCATCCAAACAGATAACGGATGGGAGGATAAGAGGCTCCACATTCTCTCAATTCTTTATTGACCTATAATTATTTCTTCAAGGGACCTGACATTTTGCGTAGACCCTTTATCCTGTAGAGCAGCCCATTGATAAAATCCTGTGGGGAAGATGGAAACAATTGATTTTTTTTTTTTTTTTGCATGTAACTTTTACAGGCTTAGACAAGACAACAGTAACAGCAAACAAGTATTTTCTTTTCTGTCAAATATTGAAAACGCTATATGCTTGTGTGTAGTCTCATGTAAGTATATATTTTTTGTCTCACCTCTTTTGGCTTTCCACATTCCTGCAACAACTCCTAACAAAGAGAACAAACAGGTTGGCTCACTAACAACATTGGACATTGCTTTTTCACTGCAAACATTGCAACACTGGATTCCAGCAAGGGTCGAGTGCTTGTTAAGCTATTACCCAGCATTGCAAATAGTTAGCTATGTATTCAGGTGTCAATTGGGAACAAGGTGTTAAAAGGTTCAAATTTTGCCTGAATGTTGGACTCCTGGGACTCAGGTTGTCCTTTGAAAAACAGTTCCATTAAGCAATAAATTACTGAGTATATAATGCAGTGTGAATAATGTTATTGTTTTTAAGCTAACTTGCACAATATTACCTGCAGCCGGGTTCTCTGCCCCTCGTCTGTCAGCTCCAGGAGCTCATCTATGTCAATCTCTAACTCTGGAATCTCTTCCTCCTGTAAAAGCATTAAGAAACAAAAGTTAGGCTCTATGGTTAATATTTCTCTATTATTATATTGCCCACACTTGTATTTCTGCATGCTACAAAGGCTCTTGTATAATGTGGGCTTCTTGCCATCCTTTCACACACAGTGGTAAGACTATCCACACCACTGAGCAAAGTCATTCAGAAGGAAAAGAAAGTGTAAGATATGATCCATAATGTGATGCAACATGGCAGGGGTTTCATTTCAGCACAGTAATGAAATTGTTGCCGCTGTAGTACTGTATAGAGGCTGTTGAATTGTCAAGAGTTGACACTGTACTTTTATCAGTAGGCAATTATCTGATTTTATAGTGTTGGCTGTATTGTTGGAATAAGAATAAACACTTCCTTAATAATTTCCCATAACAATGATGTGATTGATGAAGTGCTGTACACATAAGCAAAGCTGAAGAGCACCGAGGCATGAAGGCAAAAAGGCTCCCAGGCTCACTTGCCTCGTGCCATCATCAGATTTCATGGATGGTTTAGCCAGATAGTATTTAGCTCAGCTATAACTGAGAGATTATTTCCTGTTGAAATGTTTTCTAAAGAATATATTCCTCTAGGCTAGGTTGTCCCACAATGTATATATACCTGAATTAAAATACATATACACGAACTGGACCTCTTATTAAATCCATGCAAACCCTTAACCCCTTAAAACCCCCCTTAACCAGCTGGCAGCACAATGAAAGACTTTTTTCCAAACTAATGTAAAGACTGTAAAAAAGGGCACAGAGTCTCCAGTTATAAAAAGCAAATACAGCAGAGTAATCAATTCATATCCCAAGCTCTTATCCACACCATTTAGCTACATTTTCACAGGGAATGAACGGTGCTCACTGGAGGAACCCTGAACACTAAGATATCTAGAGTCAGCAGGTGTACACTCATATTTGACAAGTGGGGCCTCTTTTTAAGAGGAATATTTTCCGGTTGGGGAGTTTTCATGGCTGGTGAAGATGGGGCTCGCACAGCTTTCTGGATGAGGAGAGAGCTAATCAATGTGGAAGTGCTGAGTGGCGGAATAGATGGGCCCACCTTCAGTCCCTTGTGCCCCCTCTAATTGATACATGCTGCCAGTTTGGACCCCTGTGTGATTTTGCTGATGTCTGCAGGACAACATGCAGGGCTTTGTCCAGGCTGTGCGTTTGTGTGCTGTGTGGGCTTCACTTTACCAGCTCGGCTGTGGGTGGTTGTGTTGTGCTTTTTGGTTTATATTTTGTGCGTCACTTGGTTAGGCCAAATACTTCAAACTCTTTGTCTTAGTATACTCTATATAAGGTTATATTTTTGTAGTAACCATTGTTTTCTTTTTTCCCTTTACATGCGGCTTTAGCTTGCATCTACAGTCTGCCAGTAGTGCAGAGCTAACATGATGCTAGAGCAGCCCACCTAATGAATGTGAGTAGTTATTTCAAAGCTTTATTGTCATGTCTGCTGGGAAATAAGTTGTATTCTCTTTACCCTATTAGCCTCCAACTATACATTTTGTTACTAACCAGAGTTGCTATATAATATTGCTATAATAGGCCGATATATACAATAATGTTTGGTTGATCTTAGAAGCATTTACTTGCAATAAACAAGGATTAAAGATATATTCACAATATTGCCTGGAACCTTAAAGGACTATCTAGTGACATGTTCAGTAGGTAAAGGATGAATGTGAAAATGAAACCTTCCTGAGTACTGCATTAGTGATGAGTATGAACAAGGATATACCTTTTGAGCTTAAATCAGAGCACAGCTGAACATAAATGAGAGAAACGTGTGCATTTACATGAAGAAATGCCATGACCCTTCCAGTACCTTTTTAGTATTTCATATACGCAGTCGCAATTTTCAGCTTGTTGAGAGTTACCTTCATTGTCAGAGGAAAATGGCATTTTAATGAGGCCTCTGGGCAGAAATGTCTCAGCAGCACTTTTTGAAGTTAAAAGCAATAGACTGAAGCTAAAATGAATGTTGGCACTAATACTGGAGTTCATGAATATCAAAGTGGTTCTCAGAGGATTACAGTTTTAGACAGGCAATACAGATGCAGTCTAAATAGCAGTTGGATTTTGTCAAGATAAGGTGACCTCCACTGGATTGTATAATTCTGAATCAGGAAAGTTTCATCAGTGTTATGAGGTGACCTCGTTTTTCCTGTCAGGTTGTCTCAGTAGCAGCCTGATCATTTGAATGTTTATTCATCCTTTTTTACATATTTTATTTATTTTGATTACCACAAGTACTTAGTACATAGTTATTTGTCTTTTTGCAATTCTTGAGTGGTACTGTTTCATTTAATCCCTTTTGTTTAGGGTTGTGCTTTATAAATGAAGGTCACTAAAATTGCTTTTGACCAGAGGGAGATTTGCTACAAGCAAGGTTGTCATGAAATGGAGTATTGATATTAATGGCCCCCAGTGAATGGGTCCTAAAGATTTTGTTGACCCCCTGACCTGTCATCCAGGGCAACCCTCAGGTCAAAATGTGTGCTTGACCTTTGCAAGGTATATTGAAAAAAAGGATATACTGGATATTCATGAGCGAGGACCATGGGGGTCCACTACCAGGACAACATTTCCAGTGCAAAGTCCAGAACAAACTCTTATGAGCAGGTTGAGCCTGATATTTACTCAGGGTGTTTAAGCTCCTCAGAGGATGGACTGTAGTGACCCATTGACCTTTACTCTATCACCTCACATCGGGCTCCACTTAGTATATAGTAAATAATAATGGACGGATTATCATGAAGTTTACTGAACACACTTCCCTATGAAAGGATGCCAGTTCATCTGGTCATTATATAACCTGTAGCCCCACCCTTAGGTCAATGTACCAACTTTTAAAACAAGACATCTAAAAGCCATATTACCATAAAATTGGCTGTAGACGTTCATGTAAGACACTTGCTTTTGACTTTTATGATTCCGTGTTGTTGGGCCATGTTGGTTTGTTTTTCTGTTTAACTCTTCTTTAATATTGTGGTTATTGTGGTTTTAGCCTTACATTCTGGGACATAAGCTCATATATGAACACCAAATATGCTAATATACATAATATATACACCCAGCAGCCAGTTAACTTAACTTAGCATAAAACCTGAAACAGGTTATAAACTAGATATAACATGAGCTTTAGAGATGTTAGTAGACAGATTTTGTTGCCTTTTTTTTTTTTTGGCCTTTTATTACCTTTATTTGATAGATACAACTGAAGATAGACAGGAAAGGGGGGCAGAGAGAGAGGGGATGACATGCAGCAAAGGGCCGCAGGTCAGATTCGAACCCTGGCCTCGGTACATGGGTCGCCAGCTCTACCCACTGAGCTAACTGGGTGCCCAATTTTGTTGCCTTTTAACAGAGCCAGGCTAGCTGTTTCCCTCGTTACCACCCTGTTATGCTAAGCTAAGCTTACAAGCTTCTGAATGTGGCTTCATATTGATAGACAGATATGATTGGTCGATTTTGGACCAGGAGGCTAATAAGTATATTTTACAAAAATGTGGAACTATTCCTTTAAAGGTTTTTGTTGCACCGCTTACAGCTAGATTACTGTACTTTTCTACATGATTACAACAAAACAAGAAATGATTACAACAAAACATCAACATTAACACAGTATGGTTTACACACACTATGTGTTTGCTGTTATACTGTGAAGGAAACCATGCCCAGGAAGTCCAGCTATTCTGAGAAGACGTCGGCATGTGTTAACTTATCAGACCCTTCCCTTTTCCTTTCAGAGGCACGAGCTGCCCGCAGATCAGAATGTGCATGACACAGTTTAAAGAGGGCAAACAGAGTTTAAAGATCCTCTTGTTCAGTTATATAAGAGCAGGACAATTACTAAATAAGAACTTGTGGAAACATAATGTACAATATATCAAGTTGTAAACAAATTAACCCTTTGTCAGTGGAAATTTTTCATTACTGTAGTCTATAAATTAAAATAAAACTGACATTTGCTGAAAAGAAGCCTCAACATTGCTCAACAAGTCTATCTGAGAGCTGTTTTCACACCTTTTTAAAGTTTATTATTTCTCAAAAGGTGTGAAGTTTGCAACGAAGGCGGACACTCCAGACCGAGGCAGCACTTGTATGAATTAGAAATGTGGCTAAATAATTCAGGTGGTGACACAGGGGACTGATGGTAAATGCTTCCACGCGGAAGACTCGGAGAACCAACAGAGTAACCTTCCCCCGAGCCCATGCAAAATTCATTACACTGGCCAGTGCACATGGACAGGCCACGACTAATTCCACATAAGTAGCTAATGCAAATATCCAGTCCTTCCCACCTGGAAAGGAAAGCCTTTATTTTCATATGGGAAGGACGTAGACTATTCTTAGGAAAATTTGATAGAAGAAGAGCTTAGTTTAACAATGGTTAATGGTGTCAGGCACTATCATGATTGAATCAGACATTTCTAGTGTTATTGCGTTCTGTCATTGTCTCATCAGATACAGAGACCACATCATTAAGTTTGTTGGGGAACATGCACATCCACTGTCTGTGCTGCACATTTATTCTTACGTTGGATTATGTTAGAACCAGAACATAAAGGGCAAGTCCTGCAAACGGGAAATAATTGTATGTTTCTGGGACAAGATCAAAAGAGTACACAGAGGAAGTCTGTTTCTGTTATCCACGTGTCCTGGTTTCCACTAATGTGATTTATTCCACCCTCAGCTTTACAAGCATATTATCATATATTACCACAGGGAAGAAGGCTTGGGATGTGAATGGAATGAAGCTCATAAAATAAGTATTGTGATGAGCACAATGTTCCTAGCGCTCAGCTCTGACTGAAGGGTTTTAAAATGAAACTAACCGCGGTTAACCCTTCCTATTTACTGGTGTAGAAAAAGATGAGGAGAGATAACTGGAGATGCTAGTTGGCTATCACTAGATTTGCTGTAAAGAACTCCCTGCCCCATCTGCCAGCCAGTCAGATGGATGTGGATGCATGCTCACGTTCTGCAGCATTAGTACATGCCATTATGCAAAGGGATCCCTGGCAGTGTACGGGGATGCCAGACAGAGAGGTGGCTACAGGCCGTCTGGAGCCAAGGGTCTCCGTGTGGTTCGAAAATTAAATAAGAAACAGTTTGTCTCTGCCTTCTCCAGCAGGAAACGGAGGCGGTGTTGTCATCTGATCTGCATCGTCATTAGGAAGCTTGTGCTCCCAAACAGACACCCCTAATTCCACTGTGCCATGCTGCCTCATGTGGGCGATGAGACATCTGTTGCCATGGTTTCCCCTCAGAGAATGCCAAGCAAATCAATATGGAGCCTCTGACATAATTGGATTGTATCCCGCAGTACAGGAGTGGAGTTATGAAGGTTGCTGTGCGTGTGTGTGTGTGTGTGTGTGTGTGTGTGTGTGTGTGTGTGTGTGTGAGAGAGAGAGAGAGAGCTGGCTGATGTCTCAGTATAATATCCTGTATATATTAGACATTACCTTCTATGCAATGAAGCCATAAATTAGGCACACTATGGAAATAATGAGCACACCTTTCCTCATTACACTTTTTTACAACACGTATTGTGTTCATGTAAACTGCAGATCTTGGATGGAGAGCAATATATAGGGGCTATCTAAGTGTATAGTTTTTATGATGCATAGTTAAAAAGTGAATGTGTCCAGAAGAATGTGAGAGAGACAGAGCTAGGGGGCACCCACAGACAGTAAAATGATGACATAATGTCCTAGATGACACCATAATAGCAGGACATAAAAACAGTATATCCAGGCCAATAACTTGTTTTCATTACTTTATCTGGTACTTCTTTATTGCTTTATCAGTTATTTACAGGAATATTGTTTTGGTGCATCCTCTTCATGTTCTGCAGTCAGGTTGATGACACACATGAGAGCTTGTGTGCCTGAAATTGCAGCCATGAAGCAAAAGCTAGTTGCCTCCCCACCCAGTCTTTCAGATCGCTGTAATCTCTCACACATGATGGATAGCCCACCACTATGAGCAGCTCAATGCCTCCCTTGCTCCTTCCCCTCATATCCCCCTCAGCGTGCGTCTGAGTGTGTGTGTGTGTGTGTGTGTGTCTGTCTGTGTGAGCAAGCCCTACCCTACCTCACAGTCAAACAGCAGGTGCAGCTGCCCGTCGATCCACTCTTCGATATCCAGCCTCCTCTGCAGGTCCTTGCGGTTGTATTTGACTGTCAGCTTCCCCAGCTTGCGGTGCGCCGGCTCCTCTGTTTTGTCCGCCGCCTGGAACATCACCCTGGACTGGGTGCTAGGCTCTGACGCCATGGCTGCCACGGCCTCAGGAGAACCGTGGAAACACACTGAGCTCACACACGCACTCCCACAGACAGACCCACAGGCTCTGACACGTTGGTTTTGTGCACACCGGCTCCCCTGCTCTGTCTCTATCTTTGCCTTTCCTGTGGGCTGCTGTTCCCACGCGTATCTTCTGTTATCTTGTTGAGTGTTCGTGCTCTCCCTCTCTCTATAACACTGGCTCTGCTCCGCCTGTCCTTGTCCTCTCTCTCTCTCTCTCTCTCTCTAAAGCTCACTGTCTTGCTCTCCTTCCCTCCTCCTCTTGCAACACCCACTGGCTGCACTATCAGGAGGATGGTAATGAGATATGCCTCTGTGCGTGTGTGTGTTTGTGTGCATGTCTGTGTGTGCGCATTTGTGTGTGCGCACATGCCTTATAGGGTGTATGTTTGCTTTTTGCTCTCTTCTGTGTTATGTTATAACAGGTGGAAGAGCATAGGTCAATTACTGCGATAAAAACTGGTGAATGGGTGAGGAGGCAACCACAGCAATCAAGTTAGGACTATAACTGTGGCTCAAAATATGCCGTATACGTGTCTTACTGCCATGACAAAATACAGAAATAAGTTTGTTTTTAACTCTGATCATGATTTGTCATCAGAAACATACCAACCAACAGATATTTTCCTTATATTCACTCAGTTAGAGTATCTAAAGTATTTATCTGCACACAAAGTCAAAGGGATTTGACATGCTAAGGGCTCTTGTGTTCACAAACACGTCCAACAATAGCTGGGTCCCCCTGACAGGTGAGCCAGGGTTCCTCTAGTGTGATAGCTGCCTTGTCCTTTATAACAGGCATTATCAGGTGTACGTTTAATAAGCCTTGAAGTCAAATTGGCATCCTCAGTTACGCACCCATAAATAATGGATGAATAGGGAAGCACTGTTTATGGCTGTTTAGAAGTCAAATGTCAAATAAAAGTCTTGAAACCAACCAATGTTTGCGAAGCCAAATATCAACAGTGGCACATAACCCAAGGTCAAAAATTCATAGTTGTACCTCCCGGTGCCAAATTATTACAGTTGAGACAACAGAGACAACAGAGCTGCAGAGTTTCCACAGATCCTATTACGATATGAATAATGGGGTTCAGTTTTTTGTTTTGGCAGGGACTATCAATCAGCCATAGCTGCGCGTGTTCACCCACTGATGCACCGTCTGTTACAAACACTGAATTATTGAGTGCCTTCAGCAGCTCACCTTTCCGGGCAAACAAATTCATTCATCTCGTCTTATGTTGCTTGGTTGGGCACCGTCAGGTTGTCAAAGAAAAAAGAAAAAAGAAAAAAGGGGGGGGACGTTGACCGGAGACCTGTGTAAGGCCTTCTCACCTCGGACCTGGCTAGGTGACGCTTTCTAGGTAGAGGCAGTAAAATTAGCTTTATCTTCAATGTTGGATTAAGATGTAAGCTCTCATTGTCAGGAAACTAGTTTGTGGAAACTTTTTTGTTTTTCTAAAACTCAATTAACCACTGGCCTCATTTGGTTGAAATTATGATTCAGTCTAAATCACCAAACCAATTCATATAAATTGCATAATTTGAGCGACCACTTCCTGCCTCACACCTTGTTGAGAACTTCATGTGAGGCTTCATGACTCATCGCATACTGTAACTAGATGACTCAACACTTCACAATCATCTCAGTATCACTACAGTTGTGAAAAGAGGGTTTGGAGTCCCATGAGTTTAAATGGTAAGTAATGTTTATGACGATACAGTATGCGAGAATGAATGAGCCAAACACACGTTTCACAATGTTTAACAAAAAAATGAACCTATACTGCTGACCCTGAGCTGCTGTAGATGGGATCATACTGCCACCTTCTGGACTGAAGCTTGCATGTGAATTTGAAAGATGAACCTTACCCACTCTTTATTTCTTGACATATTTGTTTCTATGATACAGTTCTGTTACATTACTACCAGATGTTATGTGTGTTGTTTATGTGCCAGATTTGTAAAACTATTTTATTTTTATTTTTTACCTTATTGATGATTTTGGTCTTTTTATGATGTTCCGCTATATATATATATATATATATATATAGAGAGAGAGAGAGCTTTATATGCATTTCTTTAGCCATATATCTATTTCTGTCTTTCTCTAAACTGTTTTGTGCAACACTGAGAGCAACTTAAAAACCAGAGTCACATTCCTTATATGTGTACACATACTTGGCCAGTAATGCTGATTCTGACGTATCCTATATAATAAAAGATTCTCATTGTCCTCTAGTAGCTGTATACCTCTTTGTTGTGTTATTTGCTCAGGACTCGTAGACAGGATGATGTTTTCATGGGGAAATCCAAATTAGGAGAAATCATTGCTCCTAGAGGTTGGTAAAGCACTGTTGTTACAGGGGCACACAACAAGAGTTATCTCAAAATCTCACCAAAATAAAAGAGATAGTATTGTTAAAATGTTTTCTTTTGAACTTTGATAAAAAAAATATGTTTCTTAGTCTAAGTAGGCTTATTTATATAGCCTAACATTTTCCAAAATCAGGGTTCTTAAATGCTTCATACAGAAAAACCACCGCAAAAAGCATACACACTCTGGCCGACATATTCTGAATGTATGAAGCTGAAAAGACGGAGAATAAAAGAGAAGAATTTGAAAGCAGCTAACTCTATTAAATCTCACATTTCCTGTCACAACATGAGACCACTTCACTATTATACATGTCCCAGTGGATGAACAGTGATGCTCTTACATTCAGACATAAACAAAGCTCCGTCCTCGGTGTGTTTGCAGTCATGTAACAGCCAGAAGGGAGTGGCATCTCAGGGGTGGAAATTCACTTCCTGTATCTCTCAGGTGAGTCACCTGGGCAATGTCGTCGTTTGCTCGGGTTTTTGTCGACATCAAACGGCTAAATCTCTTGTGAGAGTTTCGGAGTTGCGTCTGGGACCTTTGTGGTTTTTTTTTTTTTAACCATTTCTGGATGCGCAGCAGGAAGTCAGGAGCTACTTTATGTCATTGGTACTGAAGGCTGACTTGTGAGAAGAAGCATACTGTTGTTTTGCCCCTTTTGCGGCCTAAACACTCCTTGAAGAAGTCCACTTTTTTTAAAATAAAAAGCGGTATTTTACCAAATTTACCGTTACAGGGGATATTTAGATTTTTATTTTGCTGTAAATATATATTTACACAGGACTTTTAGGGGGAAAATGAACTCACTCCTTAAAGGACATTTGGGAGCGTTGGCGGTCCTGCTCCTGATGTCTCTGCTGGACTCCAGTCGCTGCCAGGTCGGGCAGGAATGCTTAGCCCAGTTCCGGGAAGGTCGGGAGGATTTCATCCTCGATGCAGATGAGTCTGTGAAAGACGGAGCGACGTTCATTTCGTCGCCAAAATTGGGTCGTTACAGGGACTGCGTGGCAGCCTGCTGTAAAGAGCCGAAGTGCAATGTCGCCTTCATGGAAAGAGGAGCCGAGGAAGGCTCGGTGAACTCCTGCTTTCTGTTTGATTGTCTGTACAAGAAGAAGTACGTGTGCCGCTTTGTCAGGAAGAAGGGATACATCAATTACATCCTGGACTCGGTTTATGACAGTTATCTGGATGAACCCCCAAGTAAGACCAAAACTCTTCTAACATATTCTTAAAGTCAGGAATACATTTGCAGTTAACCCAAGAGCTCCATGTGACGATGCAGATCACAGTTTGGGCCCTCTGTTGATAGGATCTGCATAGTGTCGCAGTGGTTACTTTTGTTATGTTTCTAAAGAACTGAAGGTGTTACAGGTGGGGAATTTGAATAACTGTTAAAGTGTAAGTTTCCCCTTCTCAGGATACCACTAAACTAAGGGTCTTTGTGGACATAGAAGTTTAAATACATGATTTTTGGCTCATTTAGTAGGAGAAACTCTAATTTTGTGTGCTTAAATTGTAACATATAACACAATTTAACATAATATTTTAGTGGTTTCTGGTAAAACACTGATTGTAGTCAGGATATTTAAGGCCACAGATTTAGGGCAGAAACCTTCAATTCAACATGTTCACACACGCCATGCCATTATGGCCCCTGGTTCAGGTTTCTGTTCCAACAGTCTTGGACCTGAAATATTTTTTCCCACCTATCTACAAATAACTGTCTATAAACTGATACCACGGTCTCTCTCCAGAGGAATCTGACCGTCCTCCAGTGGCCAATGGAGGCCCGGACCGGGTGGTCCAGCCTCAAGACACGGTGACACTGAATGGCATAGAGAGCAATGATGACAATGGGATTGCATCCTTCAAATGGCAGATGCTCACCAAATATCCTTATGCTGTCATTGAGGTGAGTAAAAGAGACAATGTGAACCTGATCCAAATCCAGTTTGGGGAAATAAAATAAAAGAATCCTCCTGAAGTATTTGTAATACTGCGTGTGCCTGATATTCCTATTAAATGTCTGCTCTAATGTTTTTTATCTGTGCCTGTCACTTAATTAAAAATAAAAAAATCTAGCGGCACAAGTCACATTTGTGGGTAATGAGATAACTTTTTTGCCCGGCCTTGTAGAAAACCAACTTTGAAGACCAGATTGTCGTGTCCAATCTGACATCTGGAGTGTACAAGTTCCAGCTGACCGTCATAGACACCATTGGTCAGTCCGACTCAGTCAAGATCACCGTCCTGGTCCTTACTCCTGAGGAGTCTGAGCGTGAGTATCTAGACTGAAGTTAATCCTGAAGCCTCTGAACATATTCATTTACACAGGACATTATTTTCATCCTGTAGGCCAAAAGTTGCACATTATATCCCATTGCAAACCTCAGCTTGTAAATTAAATCTAATATCAAAATTGGCCGCTGCCGTTTCGTTCGTTTCTCTGCAAATAGAGACTCAAGGGGGTATCTGGCATGAGTCATGTGTACACTATTTGTTGACATTTCCTTTGGCTTATTCAGCGTCACCTGCCTTGTGTTTAATGTTAGGACACAGGTAAAAAAAAAAAAGGATGATGTGCTTTGGTCCTCATGTCTGGTCCTGAAATCTGTCCCTTTTATTCAAGTTATCAGTATTTCAGGGTTTTTTCACATTTAAACCTCAAAATATAAATGTCCCAACAGGCTGCAACAGGTGTGCTGTTTCAAGAAGAATTGCAGAAGTTTTCCTTTTTTTTTTAAACCTATTGTTTGGCATTTGTCACAAGCCGTTCCATGTTAGTTATGATCAAACCTGTCAAGGCATGCTCGCCTAATTCCTGGGGACTGAATGACGAAACAGTATGAAGATAAAGAGGAGGAAGAGAGATAAAAGCTCATGTTATAAGAAGATTAAACTGGATTCGGCTTTTGTACAGGGGAAACGGCTCTGAAATATGGAACTAGTTATTTCTTTATCGTGGAAAGGCGGTTTGTTAAATATTATCCCTGGCATCCCTCACATCAAGTATCGCTTCAACGTCCCTTTCCTTCAAACACAACATAGAAAGCCGCAGGATGCCGCAGTGAAGTGTTCTTGGCACTACATATTTGTACAATCAGTTTGTAGTTTCTTGCGAAAACGGAAGTGAGGAGTGCAGTTGGCGTGGATTTTACTGCTTACCTGTTACCGTCCCACTCTCTCCACCCCCGACTCAATGAAACCTGTCAGTCTGGTTTCAGCTTGAGTTACACAAACAAGAAGACTCTGATCCTCTTGATTAAAAGTGATTATGTTGTATAGCTTTCTTTTCCCCATGGCTGTGTTTGAAGGTTGTTGGTTGATTGAATACTTAAAGGACAAGAAAAGACTTTTAACCATTCAGTGATTCAGTCACTTATTAACTTAGCTTGTGTCCTGAATTTTGTTAGGAATGTGCTTCAGTGGAAAGGGCATGGCAGTTACTCTACATGTCAATGCTGCCACATTTACACTACAACAATGAATGGATTGAATAGCATCTAAACCCATTGTGATATGATAGCATTGGTAATGAAAGTGTAGCTTACAGTTGTAGCCGGTGAACTTCTTTGTTATGTCTTGAAATAGCTGTGCTGTACATGAGCGGTCTGGTGATACTGCATCAGCATTCAGTAACCACATGCACTCTCTATGGAAACACACTGTCTTTTTTATTTGCATTTCTTTATTTCTCTATATTCGGGACAGCCTCTTAGAAGTATGCGTCTGACTACTCATGAGATAGACACTGAAAGTAGGAAGTTAGGACAAACGACAAAAGAAAATCCCACCACTTCTTGTTTCACATATAGGACAAAACTATTAATGATTAGTCAAACTGGTTTATGAATTTGAAATTTGAAGGGTCTAGTGAGGACAACTGGTTCACATTAAGACAGTATTCAGCAGCCTTTGGGAGTGATGACTTCTGAGGGAGATTAGTGTGTTGAGTACTTAAGACAACTCTTCATCCCTGATGGGATGTAAGGCTTGGAGGATCTGCCTCCACATCAAGACCTATCTTGTGCCGCATGCTGTTCCTCACCCCATGTTAGGTGCATCTCCTCTAACTCAGCTGTGACAGTTCGCCACCAAGTTGTTTTGGGCCGACCTTGCTTCCAATTCCGTGCTATAGGCCATCCTAATGCAACCGATCGATCCTGGCCCATTGGAAGACATGCCCTAGATATCGGATTCAGCTGTGTTTGATCTCCAGCACCACGCTGTTGCCCTTTGTCATCTTGTATAGCAGTTCATTTGAGATCTTCTTGGGCCAGAAAATTTGGCAGATTTCTCATCACGCGTTGTTGTATAGTCAGACCTTTGTTTTTTAGGCTATACTGCTCTGGCTTCCAGATTAACAACAGCAATGCAAGCCTTCCCAAGCCTTGCTCTGATATCCTTTTGTGCTGCATTGTCTTTAATGACAAGATACTCCACAGCATAGTCAGGAGTGATTGGTGCATCTGGACTTTACATGTCAATGCTGCCACATTTACACCACAATAACGAATGGTTCGACTAGCAACTAAACTCATTGTGATATGATTGGTAATGAAAGTGTGGCTCACAGATCCATGTATAATGGAGGGAGACTGTACTGTACATGAGCGCTCTGGTGAGGTGTTGCTTAGAACATGCCAACAGCTCACACCATCTTCTTTAACCTCACTGTCTATCAAAACTCACCATCTTTTTCTCAGTTGCATTTCTCTATACAGGAAAACCTCATGTGTAATTATATGTCTTGTCTACTCACACGACAGACACCGAAAGCAGGAAGCTGGTTAGCTGCAAAAGAAAACCCCACTACTTCTGGGTCAAATATATGAAAAGTTATGAAAAAGTGTCTAGTGAGGCCATCTGGATCCCAAGTCAGTATTATGTGTCTGTCTACTCATGAGACAGACACCTATAGTAGGAAGTTGAGACAATGTACAAAAGAAAAGCCCACTACTTATGGTGTCTAGATATGAGACAGAGCTATTAATAGTTTGTCAAACTGGTTTATGAATTGGAAACAGCAAGTGTTACATTGTTAAGTGTCTAGTTAGATCATCTGGTAAACATTAAGTCAGTATTTCCAGCCTTTGGAGTGATGGATTCTGAGGAAGATTAGTGTGTTGAGTACATAAGACAACGTTGATCATTTATAACTAGATGTTACCATCAGTAAGCCTTGGTGAGAGTGTTGGTGCTATTTGCCACCTCACTGTAGGGGAAAGAAATGTAACCATTAACTCTAAAACTTCTCACAGTGCTGGAAGCACATGAATATTTAATAGATTCATGTCAGTGAAAAATAACTGTTATTTCCACTGTGATAATATTACTAGTGAGATTTGATATAATACTTTTGTGAAGTAACCCCAGTGAGTATAGTAAAATGACTATTGTTAATTGTGAATCGAACCTGATCCTTTATTTTGTGCCACTAGATCACTGTATGGCTCCAAAGAAGATTGGGCCATGTCGCGGTGCCTTTCCTCGCTGGCATTACAATGCTGCCTCAGAAAAGTGCGAGGAGTTCATGTTTGGGGGCTGCAGGGAGAATCTCAACAACTATCTCTCCAAGGAGGAGTGCACCAACGCCTGCTATGGCTCAGGTATCTGCTCTGTGCTTTTATACATGAATTTACTATGGTGTCACGTTATTTTTTTCTTTTCCTTTTTTGGGGGTGGGGGGGTTTGCAGCGTGTGTATACACATATACACTTATATATCATAATAAGGTATATGTATAGTTTTTGAAATGTTTTTAATTGAAGGGTTTATGTTAGAAACATACAGGTCATCACTGTGACCCTGTATATTAAGGTTGCATGGTTAACTTGTAGCTTTAGCACCTTTTCCTAGTTACATAAGTTTTACTTTGTTGAGAAATGATGCAATCATGGTGTAATCATGGCTCTATCTGAAGATAACATGTCTCTATACCAGCACATCTAAAACTCACTGATGAACATAATATATCTTCTTTGCTTAATCTGTCTAAAAACAACATCATTTTGATTTTATGATCTGCTGTGTCCCAAATTACCTACCTCTTTGCGTGGCCAGTGACTTACTGGAGTGTCCACTGTTTGCCTGATAAATGTGTCATTTAATTTAAATTTTTTAATTTTAATCTTTTGTTTGTTGTTTTTCTTTCAGAAAAAACTTCTATAGCCGGTAGGGGTCTGCCAGTTCCCGGGCCACAAGGTAGGTGAATTTTACTATGTATTTTAACTTCTAACTCAATTTCCTTTACTCCGTTAAAAAGTTAATACAGTCATATTTTTTTGTATAAGTAGAAAGCAAAATATACTTTTGCAAAGGAGGCCTTTTTAGGTGGATCACTTCGAGCGACCCCTTTCACACTGTCATTTGGTACAGTGTTATGAAAATATCAATATAGGTGCTTCAAAGCAACCGTTTTAGTGCAGTACCTCAGATAACAATTTCCTCTGTGTTTGTGTGTCTCAGGAGAAAAATGTGGCACTGTGTGTACCACAGAGCAGTTCACCTGTGCAAATGGCTGCTGTTTGGATCCGGGCCTGGAGTGTGACTCAAGCTCACAATGTAGTGACGGCTCAGATGAGCAGAAATGTGACGAGTGTGAGCAGTGACTATGCAAACTAGGCTTCATTTCCATACAGGCTCATGGAATTATAAATGCGGCAATGATAAGACACTGATAAGATGTTTCCTTGAAAGACATGCTAACTCTTATATTCTGTATGCCTTTTAGTGAACAACGAGTTTCGTATTCTGCTGCAGATTCCAGTGAACGAACAAAAAGGTGATTTGAACTTTTAGTCTTTTTCTTTTTGTTGATTTGTGCTTTCCAAACCTTTTCCAAACCTTTGGGCATGATGATTTTTGTCACTAAGAATTAGTTGTAATTGTAAAACATACTCTTGCTCTATGTTAAAACTCTACTACCTGCAATCTGACCCTGCCTGCTCATTTATTGTCGTTCACAGTGCGTTGCACAGAGATTCCTGACACAGGCAACTGCAGGCACAGTGTCACAAAGTGGTACTACAACCCCATCCAACAGGACTGCTTCCGCTTCAACTATGGTGGCTGCCTAGGAAATGACAACAGATTTGACTCTAAGGACTACTGTATTAAAGTTTGCCGTGGGGTAACAGGTTAGTTGATATTACTGTTCAGTGGACATTTTACGTAAATTTGCATCCTGGAAAATGTACATCCCATCTTTCCCACAGACACATTGATGAGAGGCATCAGATGGGTCGAGTGAAGATGGTTGCATTTTCCATTTTAATTTAATTTGAATTTCCACATGAATTTGTTTTATGTTGTTTTATTATTGTTGATGTATTGTTTTTGTTTGTCGGCATTCTCGTCTGCTGCTGCACACAAAGTGGTGCCAGCACTTTTTCACAGCCTCTAGCTGTTTTCTCAGATTGTTTTGTAACCACCTATCACCTGTGCTAGCCCACAGGCAGTTGACAACTTGGACAAAAAACTGTGGTTAGGGTGAAAATTAATTTAATGCTTTAATGTCCTGATATGATTGATGATGATGATCTGATACTTTTTCTTTTTTATATGTATGAAGTAGAAAAAAACTTTAAGAGACATTGCTCCAAGTAGCTGATATGGCAAAAGCAATGTAATAAGTAATATGCAATACTTAAACTGTTTAATCAGTTTTTACTACATGGAATTGGGTTTGAGTTGCTTGTAGTGAGAAATCCACAGAAAATTAAAACCCAGCACTGCAGTTTGCATTGGCAGTTTTGGTATCTTTTAGCTCCTTTTTTGGTTCTGTATCCTGACTCCAAATTCAGGCTTACGCCACTCTGTGACTGTTGGATGTGTAAATAGGCAGCTGTTGGCCAACAAGTTCAACCCATCAACTTAACTCCCCCAATTCTGCAGGTCTTGGGGTGTACTACTACTCAAAAAGAAACTACTAGTGAAAAAAGTTGTATGAATCCTTTTCTGGCTCCAGAACTTTGTAAAGTCTTCAGCCCCCTTTATAAATAAAAGCCTTTTAAAAATCATTAAAACTCTAAATATTTTGCTCTGCTGCATCAATTCTGATACTTCTGCAGTATAATGTTAAATTATTAAATTATTAATTAAAAGGCCAAAATTGTTACTGCAGGTTTAATTTTCCTTCATAGCGGAGCGCAGACTGTTGCTCTTTGCATGTTTTGTATGTCATGTACCACATAAAAATGCTCAACCTACATCATGTCGCTTTCTTTTCAGAAAAGGACGTTTTTGCAAGAAAGGAGATATTTGAAGAAGTGTCTCAAGCCGAGACAGGTATAGTACTCTTCATTTTTTTTAGCTTTTTAACTGAATAAAATTCAAATCTACCAACAAAAAACAACTCTGCAGCTCCATCAGCTTTGACTTCCAGTTCTTTGAAGGTGAAGTAATGTTGTCAAAGCTTCATTCTCCTCCACCACACTTTTCCAGTTCACTGAGTTGCTGAGAGCAGCATTTGATTTTGTGATCTGCTCGCTCTGCTTTGCTGCCTTTCGTGTAGTTTCTTCAAACGACCAACCACCAAGTTAACTTGTGCTTTAATTCATTTAACAGGTACTATAGCAGTAGCTGCCCTCCTGGGTGTAGCTATCCTCATCCTACTAGGCCTCCTGGTGTTCTGCCTCATGAAGGGAAGGAAGAAGTCTTCACAACACCAACGTGTGCCTGTTAACACCGCCCCGGTCACCTTGGAGGACAGAGAGCGCCTGGTCTACAACAGCACCACCAAGCCCATCTGACCCCTCAGTCCTCACCTTTGACCCCGCCCTGAAATGACACTGGTTGCCAGAGCTGTGTCGTATCACTGAACAAACTCAGATTGATGAGAGAGGAAACTATGGCTGAGTTTGAATGATGGAGGGGATCTGTTTTTAGTTTGTCGTGATGTGGATGTATTTTATTAAGTGATGTACGCAGAAGGCACAACGTCTTCAGTGATTTAATGTGATGTCTAATGATATGACTTTTAGCTTCATTTTGATGCAGTGGCCTGTTGAAATGAGTTGTTGGATATCAGTTTGTACTCAGGTTAAAAGGGAAGTATTTTCATTAGTGCGGAGGTAGATTTATGCTATATATCATCCCATGAGACCAGTTAAATTTCATAAATATTTTCTACTTTGTTGTACTTGCTTTTTCTTGTAAATGAACAGCAGACCCTTTTTTGTCAATAAGTACACGTTGTTCTGATCAGTATATAATTTCCTTGTCTTTTAAAACTGAGCTCTGGGAATCTCTGTGGATATGTAATGTTATGTGATGATTCCTCCAACTCTCTGAACTCCTGCCACACCAGCTTCTTCACTCTGTCAGATTTATTTTCATCCTGTTCATACACCATTGTTACAATGGGTTACACATGCATACGTGACGTTGTACATAATCTTAGAGTTTTGCAAAAAGGTATATTTTATGTGAGAAGGTTATTTTGTCAATTCATTTTCAAGTGTCTTTAGAACAAGCATAGTGCATATTTTAAATAATGCTTATTGATGCCTTTATAAAGCAGCTTTGTTGATTAGTCAACATTTGAAACTTTGTACATATGACCTGATATAGATTTCTGTGGCAGTATCTTGATGTTTATACTAAATAAAAATATCAAGACTTACAAAATAAGCCTACTTTGAACATCAGTTTTTATTGACCTCCGTGTGAGTGGTGACTCACTCAGCTGTTAATCTTCTGCATTTTTTTGCTGTGGAGCTGTGAGCTGACTGTGTTTCAGGCTGCTAACACCGCTGTCTGCAGAAAAAAAGAGACTTGCGCTCTCTTGAATGCAATTCCCGGTTGTCCTTAGTTTGTTATTTAATACAGTTTCCTCATGTTGACATATTTTTGGTATTTACGAGTCTCGTTTCTCAACTTTATGTATACTTTCACATTTGAGACAGACAAACAAGTGCCTGTATGTCTGCTAAACATGTTAAAAACAAACCAGAGATATAAAACATAAGCAAACAGTTTAATTTTATTTTACTTTCTAGCAATCTGTCTCAGAAGCTAATTCCCTTTTTAACTGTAACACATCCTCCTCATAAATCATGTAAATACAGGTTGTCGTTTTAACTTTAGGGTATACTTAAAGGATTTCAGGTGTAGCTTTTCCAGTATACACGTGTTTTTCAAACCTCCACACTACACACTGGTGTGACTAACCAGTACAAATAGTCTAATCTAAAGTTTACTGGTAAATTATATCACTATTAAAAATCCCCATATCACACCCAGAGAAAGAAAGAATTTAGAAATACCACTATAACAGTCTATAGGAACAATGTGGGCTGCATGTTTTATCATTGATGGTCTAGTTGCAGTTTTAATTCTATACATTTTATTTTATCCCTATACAATAATAATAATAAATAACAATAACTTGCCTACATTACCTGCAGGTACTGGACTTGATTGACACATATTACAATATTATATGCAACATGCTTGTTATTGTGTTGCCTTTATAAGATATGACACATGGTGAAAGACTTTATGCTGTAGAAATATCCCCTTGTACAGAATCCTCTGCACATATAGAGCATGTCCAAAGCAGGTTTAAGTTAAGCTTGAGATACAGTGACATCTAATGGCTATAGCTGCAGGGTACAGCAGCTGGGTTTAGACTGTACCCTAGGTGAAGTTTAAACTGGACACAACAGTGGGGTCTTATATTAGTTTATTCTTGACAAACAAAGGTTTAACCTGTATTAAAAGTTAAACTGCGGTCCCATAGTGATCCACTGTGGTCTATTATTTAGTTTTACAACAATACAACATATCTATTTATCATATATTTAGAGTTTTACTATTTCTAAATAAGTAATACACTTTTTTTCTTCAAGTTTCTCTTTCAAATACTGATCAGATACATGCAGTTGCAGTGCCACTCTTCTCTGGAATATTATCTTCATCAGAAACATCTTTGTAACGTTGTTTCAGACACAGCTTCCTTCACATTGGACTGATGCGTTGTCCTTTATCACCAGCAGATGGCGACATTGTTTCATTAGACATCCAACTCAGCCGTATTGTGAAGCTAAATCAGATCAATATGGGCCACACAAACAATTTCTTGATTCTAAAATATTGGTCTTACTCAGATTCGTTAAGATTGATTGCTTTGTAACATATATTTAAGGCAATCGAGCTGCACAACGAACTGGATGGAGCAAGTTCAGTCTATAAGACTCCTTTTTAATAACAATAAGAGCTTCATGTTCATGAGTTGACTCTTTCAGTAAAGCATATAGTCGTTCGTCCAGCATATTGTTTTCTCACAGCCAGGAGGGGGGGGGGGTTGAAAAAAAAACCCCCCCCCCCTTTTAAAAAAAACCAAAAAAAAATTCCCCCCCCCCCAATTAATTCACCCCCCCCCTTTCAAACCCCCCCCCCCCCTCCCCCTATTTTAAATAAAAAAAAAAAAACAGAAATACAAATTGGGGAGATGTTCAGATGTGGGACACCTCTGCAGAAGGGCGTAAAAAAGGGGTTTTTACATCCTTTCCCTTGTAATTGACTCTTAACACCAGTAGCCTTTCATCTAGTTTTTTTCTTTTTTCAAAAAAAAAATTTAAAAAAAGTATATAAAAACTTAAAAAAAATTAATTTTTTTTTTTTTTTTTTTTTTTTTTTGGGGGTTTAAAAAAAAAAAAAAAAACCACCAAAAAAAAAAAGGGGCTTTTACCATCTCCGGGCGAGATAAGTCGGAACCAGAAGAGATTCACATCCTTGCTGTGCTCAATTGCGTTCACTGACAATTCGTAGCCGCTATATTTCCGACAGGCTTTGAACGCAGCAGCAGTTCTTCGCAGGTCTTCAGAGATGCAGCAGTCACACAGTGTTTGGTGTTTGGACTCAGTGCGAGCTGATGACCTGCTCTGGGATGTGAGTGTGCGTGTGTGTGTATGTGTGTTTGTGTGTGTGTGTGTCTGAGCGGGTTCTTATAACATGTGAAAAGAAGAAACGGACGGAGTAACTTAAGACTTTCACCAACAGACGACAGAGAAAGGTTTTACTGAGGACAATAGTCGTTGGAAGCAAAAGAAGTTGGCGAATTCGGTACGTGAACTGCTTTTTGACAACTTTAACGTTAAATCTTAGCTACCGTGAAGTTAGTGAAGATAACAGTTGAGCTAAGTTAACCTAACATGTGGAAAGGGTTTATATCCTGTGGTTATTCTGTCGATATTGCAAGTGTGTGTGTGTGTTTGAGGGATGTTAAAAACATTTAATTTGCTTTGTCAGGATCGTCTTGAGTGGTTAAAAAAAAAAACGAATAAGGGATTAGCTAAATTTACCAGTTTACTACTGCCCAATTTTACTAAAACACATGATAACATTAGTTAATTAAAGTTTACAAAACATCTGTATGTGTGTATTTCTGCTCATGAATTCAGCTCTTTGGAGTAATGTACCCATGTAAGACACTTCCACTCATTCTTTATGAGGAGCTCCTCCGCTTTTCACGCTGCATTACTTGCAGATATTGCTTAACTTTACAGTTTTTAGGTGCATTTGTTTTTATAATTGCACAACCTCCCAGCTATAAGCCCCAGAAGGTGCAGGAGTTTCAGTCAGATAAGAAATGTTTGTCTTTGAAACAAAACACTCTCAGTTGAGTGAACTTTGATCAGCTGGTGGAGCATTTTTTTTTTTTTTTTAGGAGGGATGAGATTTTTCCCTTAAGCATTGATGTCACACTTGACTTGTGAGACAAACTAAACTCCATGCTGCTGTTGAATCATTTGCCATTTCCTCTTTCCCTGCATCCCATTCCCACCCCCTATGGTGCCCGTACTTTGTGCCTGCAAACCTAATTGTTTTTTTCTAATGAGCACCCCAGTGTGGTTTTAAATGCGAGGCTCTTCATAGGTCAATGACTTTCCCCACCAGCTGTTGAAGAAGAATGGGACAAAATCAATCAGTTACCAGTGAAAAGTTCCATTTTCTACTCCTTTGACCTCACTTGACCTTTCAGACAATAACGTCTCAACTTCATTTCAGATAAATGTTGCCTCAATGCGATAAACAGCGCTCTCTTCCAGGTGGTCCAGACAGGAAACTGCCCAAGTGTATCTTGGATCTCAGAGTTGGCACTTTATTCCTGCTTCCCGAGTCTTGGTATGCTGCAGCTGTGATAAAATTACCACAGCTGCAGAATGCAAGGGTGGTTTCATCTATGGAGACCATATAACTTTAGAAACCGGCGTCTGGGCTTTTCATAAATCACCTTCTTTGTTATTTAGTGTTACCTGGATCTCACAAGACCGTAAAGTTCCTGCTTTTGCCATCCACAGATAGGATTGCACTGTGAGAGTTAAAGGTCAGCTTTAAACAAGACCTGACAACTTTTTGTTTGGTACAAAGTTAAGAGTGTGTGACGGTGCCATACATGATTTAGCATTCCAGACACCCAAGGGAGGTCCGACTCTGTTTTTGTTGTTATGAAGACACGAGGGAGCTGTTTGCCTGCAGATGTGGTGTAATGCACCTTTAAATGGGCACACTCCAATTTCTATTTGAGGGGTTGACGTGTAATTTTACCCAGCAGCCCTCTACTCTCCCCTCCAAACGCTGTAGGACATTATGTAGGACTACTTACCCAACTACTGGTTCTCTGCAATCTATAATGTTAAATAACTGGAAGTCTTCACTTGTCTTTTGCCAATTGAGATGGCATTTGCCAACTTCTTTTGCCAGGTATGCATTCTGTGGTTATAGGCCATTGATGAGGAGGTGAAAATTGCTATTTCTCTTTTTCAGCACAGCATGGAATGATTATTCTCCCATTAAGGGCTATTTTGGCTGGAGTGTACGTGCACCATATGGACAAAACTCCTCACAGTGCCCTGTGGGTGTTCATTGGGATGGATCACTTATCGCCACATCTAAGCAGCATGCTCAAAACGGCAGTGGACTGAAATAAGAGGCTCATATGTTTGGTGTCTGTGGGAAGTCATGGGTTCAGACAGCGCTTTTGTGGAAGCTGTGGATTTGATTGAGATGAAGAGGGAGCGTAAGGCTTTATTGTTTTCCCCTGTGAATGAAAAGCTGTTCGTCTCTAAAGGCCTGTGTGTCAGGAGACAAACTGCAGGAGTAATGTGGGAAAGAGGGCACTCACAGAAAGGCTGTTTGTCAGGGGATATTTTCTGCCGGGTTAGAGGGTGAGAGAGAGGTCTTGCAAGATAAACATGGCACCAATGCTAAAATAATAAAGACTCTCTGTCTCAGTTAGCCCTGTAGGACCTCGGACCCCTGCCTGCCATGCTAGGTTGGATTTTTATTTGTTCTGAACGTAAACATCCGTCCTGACTGATGGTGTCTTCAAGAAATCCGCACCACCGTGTCTGAGAAATCCCAGGGGCCTTATGTCATACTTTTAGATCCCCGCGGGCCTTGTTGGGGCAGACAGTGAATGCAACGTGATGCGGTAGGTCTCCGACTGTGAGAGAGAAGTGCCGCAGGAATTCTCTGGACTATTTTTAGCTTCCCCTCCTATCAACTTTTTGTGCATGAAGAAACCCCCAATTTGTTTCCTTAATTGTGGCACAAAAGGCTGATTAAGTTCTCGTTTTGGATTCAGACGCTGGATCCAATCTGTATGTAACTTTGTGAGCATCATC